AAAAAATTCCCAGGATACGATGTAGACCTGGCACTGTGACTGAAAAGAAATGAAAACTACCTCTTTGAATTCCGACTGCAAATTTGGAATATTTGCTGCGTCTTTGAAGGCCACCTCTTCTACCACAACCTTTTTACCTTCGGATATTACATTTCTTATGAGTGCTTCAACATTTTCGATCTAAATACGTACGTTTATATACAGTCTCTAAAATACTTGATTGCTGTACAGCCTTGTTCGCTGCGGATGCTGGGGCGTAAAGGTTTGGCGCGGTGCCAGTCCATTCTCCGCCAATTGAGGGAGCTGGTAGCGACCACAACTGGTGGGAAACTAGCTGGCGCCGCGCCAAACCCCCCAGCTTCCCTGTTACGTCTCAGCGTCCGCAACGAAAAAGACTATAATTTTCTCAGAAAACATACAATATCATCTTCTCCAGCACAGTCATCAGTTGCATAGTCGAATCTCAGAGAGTCCTCATCGATGGATGATCCTCGTTGCCCTCTTCCTGCTCCAACGCGTCGTAGCGCCCAGTTAAGAAGATGTGTTGCCGAATGGGCACGCATCAAAGCAAGCCGACGCTCCTAGATGGGATAAATATCCGCAGGTAACAGGCAGCAGTACTGAGAGTAACAACATATGGAACAAAAGTACTTGGAAAAGAGGCACTCAGCGGCACAACTATATTGCGCTGCTCATCAGCGTCTTCTCACAGGGATGTATGAAATATGTTTGTGTTATATAGTGTATGAAATAGTTTTGAAATGGTTGGTTTCAGGGGTGCGTATCAAGAGAATCGCTCGGACGTCGCACTCGAGAGCGTAATATAAGAGCGCGATAAGCTCTGCGGCACCTGGTCACTGAAGCCTGCCGAGTCAAGAGGGGGGAGGCTCTCCATAGTGCGGCATAGCTGGCAGTCGGTGTGTCCCTCCGGATGTATGCAGAATTCAAAATGCAGCGCGAGTGATACTCTCAACAACTACACTTTTAATGGCGCGACGTCGCGGCCACGCCCAGTATTACTCCTGCCGCAGAACTGTTTCGTACACTCCGCTTTCAGGCAATTTGAGAAGGAATTCGATTGAGAATAGGAATGTGGTACATGTACACTTTCCCCGGGAAAGGAGAGCGAACAGATGCTGAAGCAGAAAAGCTATCTCGCTGCAAAAATGACAATTGCGTTCCTGTTGGCCAAAGACGCTATGTCTACTAGATTCTACTAGTTCTGAACCACTCCGAAAAAAAAATGCCGGAACTTTTTCTATGCGGGTTATTCAGTGCCGAGAATATAAGACCCATCCGACGCATGTTTTTGATGCCGGCGAAAATTAACGTTGATAAGACGGCACAGCCTTTTCCACCGGAACCGACACAAGCTACATACCAGTTACGAATCACGAATACGGCATTCATTGTCTGGCGCCAGAATGCTGCCGGCGCTAATCTGGCGCCACGGTTTTTCCCACCAAACTACTTACAATTTTGCCCTCGGAATAACGGGAGGCTGTGGTCACGAATGCATTCGTTGACGTCGCAGGCCCCATTTGATGCCGTTACCTTATCTTGCCATAGCCTATACAAATTTGTACCCCGGCGTTACCTTCCGTTGATATTGGCGTCGGCACCTGGGAAGTGAAGCTTTCTGGAGAGCAGTTCGACGAAGGGGGGGGGGCATTTTGCACTTTTGCTACTTCCCATCGACGTGTCGACCTATCTAGACAGCCTCTTCTCGAGTTGACAGGTTTTAACATGATGGCTTGACGACCTTGCTCCAGCTTCACAAGAGTTCACAGGTTTCACCAGAGTGAGACTTGTAAACCGGAACTAGGGAAGCAATGAAAGTACAAAATGCCCCCCGTCGCCAAACTGCGCCTTTCTGGTCGTCTACTGGCGTAAGCTGACATACGATGGCGCTGGCACACGCTCGAAACGCTAGATCTTCCCAGTCGCTGGTGTGTGTTCGAAACGCTCCAGGCGCTGACGCAACGTATGAACATGTTCTCAGCAAAGCGCAGACGACCATAAAATGGGGCATAAGATGAATGTCATGTTCGCGACTAAGACTGAATAAACTCTACAGGTCCAAGTTTCAGCTAAAAAAACTTCTTGAGGTTTTGGATATGGATAGTTGAATAGTGCCAAAATATGGTTTAAGATCTCACAATGTCGATTTTCTGCTTGACCACTGCACCCGCTGATATCGTGCCATTCCCAATCACATTACCATTCAGAACGGCGATTCCGTCCACTTTTTCGACT